TACTAAAATCGAAACCATAATTCTTTCTAATTATTTTGCATCTAATTTTCCCCTCGGGTATCAACTAGTAGTACAAGACTCATCATTCATTGTTTCATTATGTTCTCTGTCTTTTCGCATCACTTTATTTCTAGGTAAATGCTATTCTTTTAACAGCCACGCATATTTGGTATCGATTTTTTTTATTTCAAAGGAAATCTATTTTCTTTTATCAACCATTTCTATTAGGCTAATATTATTTTTCCAAATTGTTTTAAATACAAGTAAAAAGAAACACTTACAGGCTTTGTGACCTTGTAGGCCACAGATCGTTCACGGTTTTAACATACTTTTTTTTTTAAACTAAATAGCATGTTAATTAATCTTTATTAATAAACGGATTTTTTGTCGTTATAATGGTTCTTTAATTTTAAGAAGCCTGTGGCTTCCTATAAATTAGGGCCTAAATTATTTAGGTTTGTTATATTTTAGAAAACAAATATTTAATTATATCTACATTGCCTAATGCAATAATCCTCTGTTAAAATTTTTATAATTAGTTTCCACCTGTATGCGCCTCATATTTACTCCTTCTGGTATCAAGCTTTTTATTTCCGCTCACCGCGCAGGTTCAGCAGAACCGAGCCAACTACAAACACCGGATGTTCTTTTGAGATCCAACCTACGGAGATCCATCCTCCAACTCCACAACTAAAATATAATAGATAAAAAAATAAACTTAAAACGGCGAATATAAACTGAATGAGTGAAAGGAAAGGGTAGAAGGGACTAAACACGGTCAGCTGCGCAGGTCGGGAGGAGCGCGCGCCACAGGGAAGAAAGCTGCAGGATTTTAGTTTCACCAGCTCAAAATCCTAAAGACACACAAACAAGTTTCCTATTATTATTTTTGTTATTATTATTATTTATCCAACGCTAGGCACACTATTTATCTTTTATTTAAATGCCTCTGTATTATAGGGTTTCTTTTTATTAGCTGTATTTTATAAGCTACTCATTTCCAATATTACTATAAATGTCAAAAACACTCTTGCCTCCTTTTAGCCTGCCTGTTTAAATCATTCAATTTTAAACTACATTTGTTATTATTTATAAACTGTTATCTTCACCTTTTTTGACACCATAAATTATGATAAATCACAATTTTCGCATCATGCTGCTGCTATTCATCACACATTATTTTTTTATTCTATCTATCTCTGTTTATTCGGAAAAAAATATATATTACATCTATTTTATTTTTTCCCCCATTCTGATTGTTGATTTTTCTTATTTTAATACTTTGTTTTATTTTTTTTCCGCCTGTGTGACTAAAAAAAAATCAGAAGAAGGCTGTATAAATAACTGAGAGCATGAGTCCTTAATTTAAATGAAGGAAAATGTGCAGGAATCATACAAGTTGAGTTCTTGACTGGGACAGCATAATAAGAGCAACAGGCTTAAAGTAGATGATGGCAGCAGGTAGAAGAACAAGCAGAGCAGTTTGTTGCCTTACCGTGAGCCTTGTCTCCCAACATCTGAGCTACAGAGAGCCGCCAGTCAGAGATGATTGTCTAATTAGAGCGAGGATTGGATGCACTGTATGTGCTGCTGCAGCCTGGCATAGCCTGCTGAGGAAAAAACAAAAAAAAAAAACCCAGATCAAGCTCCAGGTGGACCCTGTCTAAACCCTTTCTGCTTTCGGAGCCAGTATGTCCAACTGTAGGCTGGATTTGCGCTGATGATCATTAATGAACACAGAGAGAAACTCCTGCGCTCTGATCTTTCTTTACTGCCCTTCCCTTATGGCCAAAGTTAAGTTCCTCTTCTCCTATTGGTTAGCGCGGTGTCACGTGACGGATGATCGCTGCCTCCTCGCGGAAAAATGCCTGGACAGGAGGATTCACTCTCTCCATGCACATCTTAAGCTGTTGTCAGGCAAGCTTTTAATAAAGGGAATAAGAAAATAAAGGAGATGGTCGCAGTGTGGTTTTATTTGCAATATTATAATAATAAGATTATAACAATAGGATAATGATAATAACATTAATAGTTTTATAAAGCTGAAAATAATTGTGTAATAATAAAATATACTTAATATGTTTTTGTCAATCTTTTTTCTTGTTAACCAGCGATTGAAACAATGGCCTCCTCTGTCTTTCTTTTGTTTCTTTATTTATATACTGTAGCTCCCTAAAGTAGATTGGACTAATTAATAATAATTGACTCTGACAGAACATTTTGCTTGGTAAGCACGATTGATAGTTAAAGGTGTCTATTGTTAGCTGAGGCAGGATGCAGCGTCAGGCTGAGGGTCACTGCATGGAAATATGAACAAAGCAGTTGGCCCTCTGCTCTTCAGATATGTGGGGTTGCTGCAGAAATCTGTGAGTGTGTGTGTTGGTGTGTGTGTTAGGGGTTACATTTAAAGATTCATTTTCTGTGCAATCTATTAAAGGTCTGTGGGTGATTATTTAACACTACATAGTCTATCTTTTGATTACAACAATGTTCCTCTAATTGTTTCTCAGTTTTCATCAATATTTTTAGCAGCTCTTAAAAATCTCTGTTCACCAGAACCTAAAAAATAATAAATATAAATGTTCTAATTACCTAACACCAGAAATAATATCTTAGTCAAATTAAGGCCTAACAGACAAGCACTTATAATAATTAAGCAGCCAAAAGTCGAAGCATTTACACTGGATTTATGTTTCTGAATATTAATTCACCTCTGATTGGAGTTTAGAGTAAGTTTGTCAAAGGAAAAGGTTCTGGTTCATAACACATCAGTCATTTAAGCATTAGTTTAATGTCTTCCATTAGCAAACCATGCTGCCACTTGTGTCTCTATATGTATAGTGTAATTATTTTTAATCCAATGTTTTATTCCATTTTACTAACCAAAAATCTGTAGTCTAGCAAACATTAATTCTGTATTTTTAAACAAGTTTTGAAGAGTTATAGCTGTTTTTATTTCTTTTTGTATTTGTATTTTTCACTGTAAAATTGTTACTGCTGTGTTTTTAGATAAACAATTTTAAGATCTGTCCAACAGATGAAAAATATTATTTTGGCTAATTGTGGTGCATTTGCAGGAATGCTTATTAATGTACACTTTCCCTGTCAAATAAATAACTAAATCTATAATCTGAATGGGGCTCCTCCTAGTGGTGAAGCAAACTGGCAGGCCTAAGTTGTTACAGCAAAAATGTTAATAATGGTGACAGAATAAATCTGGTAGTCAAAACAGCTGTCTGGCTGTAGCCCTTCTGGATATTGTGATAGCTAAAAAATGAATCTAAATATATATAAATGAATGGATGGTGTCCAATTAAGCATTATTGTCAGATTAAATGATCATAACTGATGTGACGATAGAGGGAACTTTACAATGGCAAAACTGTAATGGCTTGACCATTGATTTCCAAACAGGAACTTCCAACCCTAAGGAAATCGAGGGACTCGGCATGCTCTGCGAAAATAAAAATAAAAAAAAGAAGAAAAATAAAGGATACTTAGTCTAACAGATAAAACTCTTTGACACAAGTGGATTTACATAAAACAAAATTCCAGATATTGTGGTGTTATCATTTCCTTGTAATGTTTTCTTTTAAGAAAAATTTTTTGGCAACCCCTAATACTGTTGTGGGTTGGTCACAATGTACAATACCTCACATAGTATTTACCACCTTGCCTTTTAACCTGTTTTTGTTATATTTCAACCCATTATTCAAACGTTCTCAAATCGTTTTTTACATGATGAATCTGGACTAAATAGGCTAAATTGGTTAAATTAAATGAGAAGCAAAATATGTAAAAAAATAATAATAATAATAGGAAAAAACAGCCAAAAAAGTGTAATGTGCACACATATCAAACCCTTTAAAAGCCTTAAACGTCAAATAATGTGTCCAGGTGTACGCCATCTAAGTGTCATATGTGTCTATACTGGAGCATGAGCCCTTGCTTTCTGAAAGGGATTACCAGTAAAGTCGGGCGTACACTGTACGATCTTTTGACCTTTTCAGGCCAATTCTCCAGCCGTGTGAGAATTTTTTCAAAGGTTCAGCCTCATTGTGTGTCCTGCGTTGTGTATACAGTATACAGGGGGTAACGGGGAATCATCAGCCTCTCATGACCACCTCCTGATCGGGAATCGTAAGGTCGGGAGAAAATAAAACATGTTTGAAATTCAGTCGGCCGTCCTGAGGTGTTTGTGGGCAAATCCTGCTGTTGAAGCAGAGTCTATTTACAAGAACCTCGAGCACTGTGCATGTGCAAACAAGGGATTTCTTCTTCTTCCGGATTGATGAGTCCGACCAGCTCCATCTCTCGCCGCTGAGTCCGACGTGTGGTTTTTGGACATGCAGTGTGAGCAGGTAGATCGCATCAGAGCATCTAGACACAGTGTGAGGACATACATTGTGATCTGTGAGCTTTAAAACCCTGCGGTTTCATTGTACATTTTGAGCTGTAGCTGCGTGCAACGATTGAAAATGTCACACAGTGTATGCCTGGCTTAAACAAGAGACCAAGGAGCTCTCCAACAAGTCAGGGACACAGTTATATACAAATCAAGTCAAGATTGGTCCAAGGAAGACACAGAGGTAAAAAAGGTAACAAAGTCATTGGTGTCAGAATTATTGATGCACATTGTAACTATAGGAACCAACAAAGAAGTGATTTTAGGATTTGTGACAAAGGTACCAGAATACAAAGCGCAGAGTACTGTAAACGGGGCGGCGTAGCAGCAAGGGTGGATCTAGAGCTGGGGGGGCAGGGGGGCCATGGCCACCACTATCCAATCACTGGCCTTCCCTGTGGCCACCCTTATCAGGTGATCTGTTGTTTCCATCCATCCAGTCCAGTTACCAGTCTGTCTTAGGGCAACGCAGAGGCACAAAACCACGCACCCTCACACCTAAGGACAGTTTAGAGACACCACTTAATCTAACAGTCATGTTTTTGGACTGTGGGAGGAAGCCGGAGTACCTGGAGAGAATCTACACATATATAGTGAGAACATTCAAACTCCTGGCAGAAAGACTCCCGGGCGAGTAATCGAACACATGTGGATGAAATTCAGCACTTCGGGAACAAGATGCTCTAAGCCAGAAGTTGGCAATGAGGATGCTATCATTTAAATTGTCCTATTTTAACATTTTAAACTTAGTAAATTAACCAAAACCTGACAACAGAAATACAGCAAAAGCTATTCACAACAATATACTACAAATAAAGCGGACTAATAAAAAAATCCTGCTCTCTTTTACAAATTTGTTTTTAGGTTTTGTAGGAGAGTTTGTCTCTGCAGTCATCTAGTTATCGTCTATTTAATAAAAGATAAAGAATAACTGCTCAACCCATATATTGTATTTATTATGTAGAACTATAAATGTATTAATTTCACCATAACTAATTTAGATATATTTGTGTATTGCTATTAGTAAGGTGCTCTTGAAAATCTGGTCTGTCTTCAGTGATTTATTAGGAAAGCATAAATGTTGGGCACATTCATTATTTTCCTGTTGGTTTATCATGATCAGCAGTTTTCAGCCACCCCTCAGTGCACATTGGTACCTGTTAGGCTACCAATGCTAACATCTGTCCACCTCCAACACATGTGAAGTGCAAAATGATGACCAATAGAGTGACATTTTTAGACTTATACAACTTTTATTTTGTGTTTTGTGCAACTTTCAGAGAGTGAATGAGCAGCAGGTTAGCAATCAAATGAACATTTCCATTCCATAAAGTGCAGTAGAGATCAATATAAACAGAGTGGGAGAAAAAAAACATGGTGCAAAAACACATTGATATGGAAGTTCTAAGCATTAACATATATGGTGCAAATATGCAGTATTTTGGTTTGGTGTTATCAATATGATGGAGAGTCTGTGACATTATTTAGAGTTTTTTCAATGTTCAGCAGTCTGATGGCGGTGGGGAAGAAGCTGGTGCAGAATCTGCTGGACTTCACCGAATGCTGCGAAGCCTCTTCCCAGAGGGCAGCAGGGAGAACAGTCCATGGTTTGGGTGTGAGGGGTCACTGATGATGTTATGGGCTCTGGACATGCAGCGCTGGGATGAAATTACTTTAATGAAGGTAAGAGGAGCCCTGATGATCCTCTGTGCTGTTCTCATCACTCTTCTCACTTTCTTCCAGTCTGAGGCGCTGCAGCCTCCACACCACACAGTGAGACAGCTCTCTATGGTGCTTCTGTAGAAGGTGGTGAGGATGGGTGGGGGGCAGGTGGGCTCTCCTCATCCTCCGCAACAAGTCCAAGCACTTCTGTGCCCTTTTGAGGTGGTGTTTACAGTCCAGAGGCTTCAGTCCAGTTTACTGGGGCTTTGTGTTCCTGACCTATATTCCAGAATAAGGTGTTCTGATCATGGATCCCAACTTTTCCTTTACACCCCACTGATGGCAGAACTTAAAGGCCTTCCTACTGCAACTTTGGTTCCAGTGAGAAGAGCACTCCCTCATGATAGTTATGACTTAACAGATCAGATCTGGGGTTTTTTAAACAAAAGGGTGCAGAAACATTGTTAGGCAGGTGATCATGATGCTATGTTCTTTATAGAAACCCATACATGTGGACATTTTCAAACATAGCTCATTAAGCCCAACAGATCACATCATCTGCTGTTGGAGTGTTTGCTCAGCAAAGGGTGGATGGCCAAAGGACAGCTCCTATTTATCAATGTGTTTCACCTCTGACCCCTCAGAG